AAAAATGAAACTGAACAGATAGTCCAGAAGACTCTCACATATATGATTATCTGATTTATTATAAATGTTCCATTGCAATATAAGGTAGAGAGAGGAAGGTGACCTTTTCAATAAATAATGTTGAATAAATTGTATACTTGTAATGAAAAACATTAATTTTGATCTCTACCCCATGCCATATATAAATATTAATTTCAGATGATTATAGACATAAAAATGAAAAGTGAAACAGGAGATATGTGGAAAAAAATGCAGAAAAATATCTTTATGACCTTGAGTTAGGAAAATATTTCTTCAACTAGGCCAAGAAAAGCGCTAATCATAAAAGAGAAAATAAATTATTCTTCATCAAAATTAAGAACTTCTATTCATTAAAAGACATCATTTATAGAGTGAAAAGGCAAGCTGTGGATGAGATAATGTTTGTAATACAGTTATCTAAAAAATACCTTGTGTCCAGAATAAAGATCCTACAAATGAACAAAAAGTCAAGAGTTCCCAATACAAAAAATAGGCAAAAGTCTTCAACAGTCACTCCTCAAAAGAAGATATTCATAAAGCCAATAAGCATGTAAAAAGGACCCTCAACATCACTATCATCATCCACTGAGAAAATGCAAATTAAACCCAAAATGAGATGTCAGCACACAGAAGAACCAGGCTTTGGCACCTCACTATTCACTGAAATTGCTCTGGCCAAGCTGGCCTGCGTCATCCCCATCCACTAACCTAACAGACACTTTTCAGTTTTTATGTCATTTGAAACTGCTCACTATGCTCTTCCACTTGGAAGTGTTTGCCTCTGAGCAGTGATGTAAGGCATGGTTGAGGATGATGGGGATTAGGAGGTGAAATGGAATGATCAACAGAGCTGGTATCACGAGATGATAACTTCTTTTTTTTTAATTAAATGATAGCTGTATACATTAATGCAAACATGGGGTACAGTGTAGAGTTTTCATATACATTTTGAAATACTTTCATCAAGATGGTTCACATAAATTTCATGTCATTTGCATAGTCATTGTGTCAAAACATTTACATTCTAGTTCTAGAAAAGTTCA